TATATATATATATATATATATAATATTTCTTACTTTTACTTCTAAAGTGATTAATTAAATTTTGAAGAAGTTTAAATCCAATATATAAAAATACATATTTAATTAAAAGTTATGAGAATCACATTTTTTTAAAATTATAAATGTAAAATATCTATTAATTTTATCTATAAAATTAATCTTTATCAATATACCTACCTGATTGACCACCTTTTTAGTAGAGTACCATCTTTCAATCATTTGTTTTCTCCATAAACAAAGCTTAAACATGAAGCTTTACTTAAGAGTATAATAAAACCAGTTCCACTTAAACCAACACGATATTAGTAAGAGGGATATGGATCATATACAGTTCAACAAAAACTGTACCGGATGCAGTTCAATCTTATTATACAATATAGATTTTATTTTATTTTTCTATTAATATAGTAAATGTAAGACAATGGTTAAAATTCGTGCAGTTGAAAATTGAACCTCAGAAGATCTTATTCCTAGAAAGAGGTATCACATATTAAATAAGTCAAAATAGCTATTAGGTATATAATTATCTTTTAAATATAAATATTTGATATTTTTCCTTAACCACTTATTGTTGGTGCTGCAAACTAAAAATGATTAAAGTTTCTAATTTTGTCACCAACTTATTATGAGTACGACTATAAAGCTTGAATTAATCTGTTGATAAAATAGTTAAAGTGTAGATCAGAAGTTAAATCCAATAACAGTACATAATTAAGAAAATATTAAGAGTGTCACATTGACATCATTAAATGAGGAATAAAATAAGTATCTACTAGAAATATGAATTTTACCTTTTAAAAATATTTAATATTTTTCCTCTTTCCTTCATTAATTTTGTATGAAGTTTTAGGTTAAAAAACTTATTGTGGGCACACCCTTCTAAAATAAATACTAGTACTTTCACATCGATCGGCAGGTGACCCTGCATATAATTAAAAAGTAGGTGTATTACATTAAATTCAAGTGTTGATACACCACTAGTTATTGCCACATATTGCAGAGGAGTTAATGCAAAACAATATCATCCCCAACTCCCATTCCATTGTGGGGACATTGGGCATTTACTTTCCACCCACAGAAACCATCATTATTCATTGGAACCAGACAATATCCACCGCTCCACTCTCATTATATAAACTGCCACAACACAAGCACATTTTTCAGATCAACAAACATTGTGTTGAGTGAAGAGAATGATGAAGTGTGGTGTAGCTATAGTGATGGTGGTGGCACTGGTTCTGGTTGAGGTGGGGCCCATGGCTGAGGCTGTGAATTGCACTCCAACAGAGTTGAGCTCTTGTCTTGCAGCAATCTCTTCCAACGCTCCTCCCTCTACTACTTGTTGTCAGAAGCTGAAGCAGCAAAAGCCATGCTTGTGTGGATACCTCAAAAACCCTAGCTTCAAGGCCTATGTTAGCTCTCCTGGTGCCAAAAGAGTTGCTTCTGCTTGTGGCGTTGCCATCCCATCTTGTTAATATAAAGTGTGTCAAATATATATCAAGAGTTTAATTTATATACCCAAGTAACGTTGAAAAAAACTCAAGTTCTATATTGAGTTTTTATTATACGTAAAACATTTTGATACAGATATTCAAGAGAATTTTAACCATCTTATTACATCATTCGATTCATTAATATGATGTAATAATAGAGTAAATTCTGATTGAATATCTGTGTAGAGAAGTTTTATGTTTGTTATTTTTGTATGTGAATTGAGCTTTGTAAGAATATTATTCAGTCTAAGTATGTCTAAGAATTTGGACGTGTTGCCTCGTCTCTAGAGATATGAATATGGTGTATACACTAGTATACACGTTGTATCTAGGGATTTATGTGTAATATGGTGTTTTAAGGACTATAAATAAGGAAATAATGTGGTATTATATTCGCCTGTGCATTGTTCATGACCATTTAGTTATAGACATTTAATGATTATAGAAAAAAAGTTACAGAAAAATTAGTAACATGGTTTAACTTAATTTGTTAAAAAAGTTAAATATTGTTAATGAAATTCACATGTGTATATGAATTTATTCATGTAGATTCATATTAGAACATATACTTTATTATGTATTAAAGAGATAATTAAAATTAGAATTCTGTACGGGCCAGTAGGCTATAGTGAAGATTCATCTTTGACAAATTCCGGTAAAAAAAAAAAAAAACAGTGAAACATAAGAGGAAATAATGATTAAATTTCCATGTGATGAAAATCCAATTAATAATTGAATTGGCACAATCGATAATTTGACAAACAGTAGAACAGGTGGGCGTTTCGTGGGAAAGAAAAAAAACTAGGACCACCTTGTAATTAGATAAAAATAGTTTGAACAAAGGAATCACAAAATTTAGCATGTCTGGGTGGTGTAGTTGGTTATCACGCTAGTCTCACACACTAGAGGTCCCCGGTTCGAACCCGGGCTCAGACAAGCGATTTTAGTTTTTTAAAATTAACTTCTAAACTTTGATCCCATCATCTAATTATAAGACTAGGAGTATAATAAGGCATTTTTTATTTTTGAACATAATTTATTATAAAAAAAAATACAACATCATGAATGTAAATTGGAAAAAAAAAAAAAGAAGTCGGTCTCACAAAAATTAATGATTTTTAATATTTTTTAGATAATAATAAAAAAATGTATTTAAAATTGTATTTAAAAAAGTACGTTAAAGAATGTATTGCAAATAATTTTTTTAGTAAATTAAATGTGTGCTTTCATTGTGTGGGTAGAAATGAAGTTGGAGAATCTCAAGCTTTTTTAAGTATTTTAATTAGTTTGATATAGACATGGTAATTTAACCCATCTTAGTAGGTACTCGTCTGAACACGCTCTGATTTGGACGGGAAAAATCTGTGTTTACCGGGTTTGAATTTTTCTGATTAATAAAATCGGGGAGGGGGACGAGGACTGGGATGTTATTGCTCCTGCCCTTCCCTAATAATATAATTAAAAAATTATTTATATATATATAAACCAAAATTAAAAATATCTATATATAAAAATTTATATTATTTTATTTTTCTTTTATTTTTTAAATTTGTTCATATTTATTTAAAAGAAGAAAAAAAAAGTAAAAACAAGAACGGGGTAATTTAAATCTGTGGAGGCGGGGACGGGAAATGTAAAAATCGCCCCGTTCCGCCTCGTTGCGATGCCTAGTTTAATATATCAGTAATTTTAAGATTTTAAAAAAAAAAAAAAAACAGTGAAACATAAGAGGAAATAATGATTAAATTTCCATGTGATGAAAATCCAATTAATAATTGAATTGGCACAATCGATAATTTGACAAACAGTAGAACAGGTGGGCGTTTCGTGGGAAAGAAAAAAAACTAGGACCACCTTGTAATTAGATAAAAATAGTTTGAACAAAGGAATCACAAAATTTAGCATGTCTGGGTGGTGTAGTTGGTTATCACGCTAGTCTCACACACTAGAGGTCCCCGGTTCGAACCCGGGCTCAGACAAGCGATTTTAGTTTTTTAAAATTAACTTCTAAACTTTGATCCCATCATCTAATTATAAGACTAGGAGTATAATAAGGCATTTTTTATTTTTGAACATAATTTATTATAAAAAAAAATACAACATCATGAATGTAAATTGGAAAAAAAAAAAAAGAAGTCGGTCTCACAAAAATTAATGATTTTTAATATTTTTTAGATAATAATAAAAAAATGTATTTAAAATTGTATTTAAAAAAGTACGTTAAAGAATGTATTGCAAATAATTTTTTTAGTAAATTAAATGTGTGCTTTCATTGTGTGGGTAGAAATGAAGTTGGAGAATCTCAAGCTTTTTTAAGTATTTTAATTAGTTTGATATAGACATGGTAATTTAACCCATCTTAGTAGGTACTCGTCTGAACACGCTCTGATTTGGACGGGAAAAATCTGTGTTTACCGGGTTTGAATTTTTCTGATTAATAAAATCGGGGAGGGGGACGAGGACTGGGATGTTATTGCTCCTGCCCTTCCCTAATAATATAATTAAAAAATTATTTATATATATATAAACCAAAATTAAAAATATCTATATATAAAAATTTATATTATTTTATTTTTCTTTTATTTTTTAAATTTGTTCATATTTATTTAAAAGAAGAAAAAAAAAGTAAAAACAAGAACGGGGTAATTTAAATCTGTGGAGGCGGGGACGGGAAATGTAAAAATCGCCCCGTTCCGCCTCGTTGCGATGCCTAGTTTAATATATCAGTAATTTTAAGATTTTAAAAAGATCAAATAAAAATTTAGCAAACTTCTAAAGTCTATTGTGAGTATAACAAAATCTTAAAAATAATAATATGATATACTATTTATGTTCCATAATAATTATCATTTAATAAAAATAATTAATTAAATTTTAAAATAAGTATCATTTTACTTTTTTAGTGTAATATTAATTATCTTTTCAAGTGAATTAGTGCTGGACTTCTTTAGTGTCACATATATATGTGACCTATATTCGACTCTAAATTATTATTTTACATTAATTTGTTTTATGTAGTTAACTGTAATTGCATGATTTGTTGGAGTAAAAAATATTAATAATAAAGTTAATTTTATAAAATTATTTTTTATATTATTAATTTTTCTTAATTCATATAAAAAAGCGTGTGATAGACACTTTTTTATAAAACACGACTATAAATTTAATTTATGGTAACATGGTTGAGACAACTATTATTATGATGAAAATTATTAATTATAATCAACATTATCATCTTCATTTTGATTGCAACTGTTATTATATATTGCCACCTTTGATGATTATTTATTTATTTAGTGTTTTATTTTAATTAAGGTTTTTATGTTAAAAAATAGATTATAATATTAGAATTTAGAAAGATTGTGTATGTACGTAGTCTCGGGATTCATTTAAGTCCTCAAGTAAAATCTTATGACTAATTAAAATAATATTTAAATTTTATTTATTATATTTTTACGTTGTTAGTGGAATTTAAACTCACATTTTATGAGATTTGAATTCTATTCGGACCAATTTTTGTTGGGAAAAAATAAATTAATATAATATACATATTGTTATTATAAACTCACGCGTTTCTTTTAATAGTTTAATTTCTTTATTTTTTTTAAGGGAATAGTTTAATTTCTATTAAACAATTAGTTGCACTAATACAAATAATGTTAATGTTTAGTATTGTTTTTATTGATAAACTATAAATTAAATGATATTGTTTTTATTAATACAAATAATGTTTATCTACCAAAAAAAAAAATACAAATAATGTTTAGTATTATTTTTGTAGTAGGAGATATTAAATAATATTAGTTTTTTATTTAATATTTTTCATAAAGTATTGGAAGAAAAAAAATCTTACCAATATGTATCTTTTCTAATAATATTTTTAAAATTGAATCAACTGTTAAATTAATTTAGATATTAATTTAAAATTTAATAAAGTTTTAATCATAGTTAAGTCAATATTAATAAAATAATAAGTATAAATATTATTAATAAAAAATAATATTAAATAAATAAATATAAAAAGTAAAAATAAAGCATTATTTATAAGTTTTTAATATTTAATGTATATATAAAAATCTAAATTAAGTATAATATAGTATTTAAATTCAAATTTTAATAAAATATAACAATTTCTATTATAAATAATAAGTTTACATCTAAAATAAAAAAGTATCAAATTTATATAATATAGATTACAAAAATAAAGATATTAAAAATTAATATTTTAACATTTGTAATACACAAGTTAAATATTTATTATATATATTTAAATTTTATAATAAATGTTATATATAAAAACAAATATTATTTTTAATATATAAATTATATTT